TTGGATTATGCAACTGTGATTGTGACTCCTAGTGATGTAATTGCCCTACCCACTTTAAGTACTCCACAAAATATGTATTAAGCATGAACAATGAAGAATTAATAAAAAAAAATGGTTTTAGTGTCACATTATTATAATTAATATTATTTTATATAAAATTATATTTTATATATTTAACTTTACGCACTTGGCCCGTGTGGCCCAGTGACTAGAGCAACTGAAAAGTGCACATCCCCCTTCCCTGGGCGGGTTCGAAACACGCCCATGACAAAACTGTTCAAAAATATATATATATATATATATATATTTAACTTTACTTTCAAATAAAACACCTTAATAAAATACTTTCTCTAATGCATATATATTTTTTAAAATTTTATATACATTATTATCAATAAAAATATAATACTTCTATTATTTGTTTGGATTTTATTTAAATGTAAATTTGAACCTTTTATGATTTTTTTTGGTTTAATGGATGACATATTTTTAGGTTAATTTATATGTATTTAAAAATTAATTTATTTTAATTTATTAAAAAAATAAATAAATCATTTAGGTTAGATTAAAAAAATTTGTAAAAAATTATTTATTTATTACTTATTATCCTCTTAAAAATAAAATTTTAATTAACAAAATAAAAAATAAATTCTTTTGATTACTGAGCTGCAAATGCTTTTGTTCTTGTGAATTTATCGGGCGGAATGTTTTACGTTTTAGTCCTGACTATGTGGATCAGTGGGTCTCGGGAGACATCTTTGTTCTGTCACATCACTGCTACGTTTTACGCATAAAAGGGCCAAATAGCTTTCTGCTTAAATTGATTTTTTTTCGAAAATAGGCAATCGAATGACCTGACTTCATTAAAAATTAAAAAATCGAAAAGGTTTCTAAAATTTTCAAAAAAATCCTTCATCCCATTTGACCTTTTAGAGAATCTTCAAAAATATTAAATAAATACCAAAAGAACTTTTTAAAACTCTTAATAAATCTTTTATCTTATTAAGTTTTTTAAAATTTTTAATAAATTTTTATTAAAATAATTATGAAATCTTAAATAAATATTTAATGAATCTTTTAAAGAAAACTTATGTGCGCGTAGATGCTGAAGAAGCAAAAGTCCAATCATAAATATATTATAATTCTAATTATCACGTCTTAAATTTAATTTTACAAATTGATTCATCAAAGAAAATAATAATGAAATACAAATAAAATAATATAATAAATTAATATTATTATATATATATTTAATTTGGGTTATACAATGGGAGACAACCATCTCTCATCCCTTATTCTACTTCCTCGCATATCATGCTACTCGAATTCATGATTTTTTATTTTCAGTGAAAAAAAATAACTACTGAACTATCCAGGTAGTTGGCATTAATATTATTATATTTAATAATTAATAAAAATATACAATACAAACCAACTACGCTTTGGAGTACTTTCCCAATTAAAATACAAGACTGTAAGTAATCAAAATTAAAGGTGAGGATGAGAACTTACTGGCAAATTCTTGAAATCCAATGTTCGCAAATCTTTCAAGTTCAACTTCGAATCCTTTTCATGCAGTCATACCTTAAAAGCAACATTACAACCTTCAAAATATTGATCGAAGCGCAAGGACCGATGAGCGACCCAGTGTTATGCAAATTAGTGTATATATGATACTTTTCATAGACCTCCTACCATCTACCGCATGATTAATTGTGCCATTGATTTTGGGACTAATTTGTTGGTCAATGTTGGACTATATACAATAGTCACAATATTTAGCCAAGTATGGACGACTTCGCCATCCAGTGTTATACAAATTAGTATATATGCAATAATTTTCATAGACTTCCTACCATCTATTGTACCATGGAAAGTTCAAAATGTGTTTCCTTTATTCATCTTCTTCTTCTTCTTCTTCTTCTTCTTCTTCTTTTTCTTCTTCCATCTTCATATTTATTAAGCTTGCAGATACCTAACTTCATCACTAGTCCCAATTACATTCTCTATCAAGGAGATGCAGTGTCTTCCTCTGGAACCATGGAGTTAACCAGCAGTGTCGAACCCTTTCGTGTTGGTGGGGTCACATATGCAAATGAAGTCCTGATGTGGGACTCCAACTCAGGAAAGCTTTCAGACTTTACCTGTCATTTCTCCTTCAGCATTGATGCGCCAAGTCCATATATTACCAACGATGGAATTGCATTCTTCCTTGCTCCTATTGGATTTCAAATCCCACTCAACTCTATTGGTGGCTATCTTGGCTTATTCAACACCACAACAAAATATTCCCCCTCGAATAGGATCATCTCGGTGGAATTTGACACTTACAATAATAGTGAATGGGATCCTAACCAAACTCATGTGGGTATCAATATCAATTCCATACGCTCTGTCGTTTCTACTCCCTGGAATGCAAGTTTCCACATTAAGGATACTGCTGATGTATTGATTACTTATAATTCTACAACCAAGAATTTGAGTGTCTCATGGAGCTATCAGAATACCAAAATCCTTAGGAAAATTCAATCCTTTATTACATAGTTGATTTAAGGAGCGTTTTGAATGAATGGGTGACTATAGGCTTTTCAGCTTCTACGGGAGGTGTAGCTGGACAACATACACTAAAATCTTGGAAATTCAATTCAAGCTTGGATGATAAGGAAACCAATGAGAATTCATCAAGAAAGATCAAAATAGTTGTTGCTATTGCAATACTAGTGATCGTTCTTCTCATTGGAACATTTTTAGCATATGTGATTATGAGGCAAAGAAAGAAGGTAAATAAAAGGGCAAAGGCGATAAATTTAACATCTATCAATGATGATTTTGAGATGGGCACTGGACCACGAAGGTTTTCGTACCAAGATCTTGCCTCCGCTACTAATGATTTCTCTCAAGATAGGAAATTGGGTGAAGGAGGTTTCGGTGCAGTTTATAAAGGCTATCTAGCCGATGTAGACATGTTGATTGCTGTGAAGAAATTTTCTAAAGGATCAAAACAAGGAAAAAAGGAGTATACAGCAGAGGTGAAGATCATTAGTCAGTTAAGGCATCGAAATTTGGTGCAACTTATTGGTTGGTGTCATGAAAGAAGTGAGTTCTTGCTTGTTTATGAGTTCATGTCAAATGGTAGTCTTGATTCTCATCTCTTTGGCAAAAGGAGTCCTTTTCCTTGGCATATAAGGTATAGAACAACACTTGGACTAGCCTCGGCAATTCTGTATCTTCATGAAGAGTGGGAGCAGTGTGTGTTGCATAGGGATATTAAGTCATGTAATATAATGTTGGATTCTAGTTTTAATGTTAAGCTTGGTGACTTTGGGTTGGTTAAGTTGATTGATCATGAGTTAGGTCGAATTATAACAGGGTTGGCAGGTACTTTTGGCTACTTGGCTCCGGAGTACATAAGTACAAGGAAGGCAAGTAAGGAGTCAGATGTGTTTAGTTTTGGGGTAGTGATGTTAGAGATTGCTACTGGAAGAAGGTCTACATATTAAATGGGGGAGGAGTCTAATTTAGGGTTGGTGGAGTGGGTTTAGGAACTTTATGGGAAAGGAAGACTTCATTCCGGTGTTGATGAGAGAGTGAGGAAGGATTTTGATGAGAAACAAGCAGAATGTTTACTGATTGTTGGGATGTGGTGCTCTCACCCTAATAGCAACTTAAGGCCATCAATTAGGCTAGCAATTCATGTTCTAAAGTTTGAGGCAACAATGCCAAATCTTCCTGCAAAAATGCCTATGCCTGTGTATCGTGTACCCACACCATTAGTTAACTCTAGAGAACCTTCTATTTCTTATTCTAGCATAGAGGCAGGTCGTTAAGACATGATTTAGTTAACTTTTCATCAAGTAAAATATCTAGTTATATAACTCTTTTCAAGAGCTTTTGAAGTTGAATTTGAACGCTTAATTAGATACATTTATTGCAATATTGCTTACTGGTGAATCTCATTCCCGACTAGAAGAGACTACAATTGATGGTTGTTAATCCTTGAGAAAGAGCTTGCTTGACAAGAAGTGTAGCATGGAAATCATAATGAATAACTTATATCCATATTTAGATATGGTGACAAAGTTGATGAGCTAATTTCACTTTAAGAAGATTATTAGTTAGTTCAAGTAATATAATTATTATAAAAGAAATAAGACTCTAGACAAAAGATAATTACTAAAGTTGGACGTGCCTTTGGTGTTAATACCAGCCTTTAGGTGTTGACACTTTTGGTTATTTCATGCGAAATCTGTTTTGGCAAAGACTTAATGCATAGTAGTGACACCACGAAGTATGTGTCGATACCATACCAGTGTCGGGTTTTCCCTCCCATTTTGTAATCTCTTTAATTGTAAAATGACAAATTTGGTATTCTAGCTTTTATACAATAAACACTTTGATCCCACAACTTAAGATTCCTTCATTTAGGTCCCAAAAATGGAATCTTTCTTCTATTCAAAAGATATTCAATTCATCCCAAAAACTCCTATTTTATACTTTCAAGTCCTTTGTCATAAAGAATGAAAACTATATAAAATTTATTGAAAACCACATATTATCCTTACAAATACTAATAAAATTAAAGCTAATATAATAGACTAATCCTTATGAATTGGAATAAAATTAAGGTTAATATAATAGACTTAAACATATAAAACACTTCTCATCAAACTCTCCCAAACTTAGATTATGGCTGTGTCAGATTTCAACCTGTCGCAAATCAAGTATGTAACAAAGGTTGTGAGAGAGGAAAGTTGATCTTCGATTTTAGAAACTGCGTTCAAGTCTACCTCCATATCTGTGAGAAGTTTGCTATGTTGTTTTGTCCAACTCTTTTCTATCTACTCCATAAGAGGAATCTGTTTCTTTAGATTGCTCACCTCAGCTTGCAAATTTCAATTTTAGTATAGATTCCAGTAGATTTAAGTTGTTTCTCATCATTTCAGTAACCAAATCAATTTTAGCATAGATTCTAGTAAACATCAGGTTTATTCTAATTTGTATTTCATTCAGTTTATTTAAGATTTATTAATTTAAATTCACGATATTGGTAAAATCTTTGAGATTGTCCAAGGCAAATTAGCAAACAATTATGCAGGAAGGCATCCCTCCCTCTTGCAAATCACCTGAAGGTGCAAAATTCAATCTTCAACCAATGTTCTTCCAACCATACTAACAGAGGTCGACTGCATGGAAGGAGAGGGTCGTTGGGAAAATCCTTTTTTCTTGTTTTTCAAAAAAGTAAGTGACATACCCGTATCCAGATTTTGCACATGCGAAGCCATTTAAAGATTTTTAAGGAAACAGATAATATAAAAAAAATTATTTATATATCACCACCCTTAATTTAAACCTATTACTTGCACCATATTCTACTTTTCTGCTCTTAATAATCTTAAGTTTCTATTCTTATTAATTCTATCATATTTAATAATAGATCACTTCAAAGTGTTACTCCCTTCACTTTAAAGAAGCAATCATTGTGCTTCTCACTTCATTGCTTTAGTATTTTTAGCCCGTCACCTCACCTCATTTTTGCCTTTAAAAACACTGCTTTCAACTACAAAAAATATTTATGAAAATCGATAAATATCATAAAATTTTTTAAGTTCACCTATTACATATTTTTATTCCAAAGTTTGCAGGGATAGTGTGACAAGGTGCTCTTCCTATTATGAACCATACAATATTAAATCAAACAAACTACATTTTTGTAAGTATTGCATAAAGATAAGTTACAAGAGCTAACCCTACAGCCTAGTCCTGGTTTGGACCTAGGAGAGGGTGCAGTGCATACATGCCCTCTCCCTTAATTTAATTTGCTTTGGAATCTCGCCGTTTTGAGTAGGAAAATTCATCCATTGAATAATAATAAGGTGGCTTGGCCTGGATAGAGAACAAATGTTTAGCGGTCAAGTTTCTAGCAGATATTGGAATTCACTTGAATCAAATTTAATTCTTTTGAACCAACACATTTATATATTAGGATACATCTAACGAAGACTAATACATTCAGGTGACAATCAAAGCAAAGAAAGATGCCCAGTGTATTCAATCTCTCTACTACCAACTCTTTTCCTCTAAACACTCCAAAATACACTAAATCTTGATTGATTCTCCTTTCATCGTTTAGTTGGTATAAGATTAATTCATATATTGTTGATTAAGAACTAATCTCTGTCTGTCATACAAATAAAGAAAAAACTTGGATCAGCTGTTCTAGTAATTTGTTACTTAATTAAAGATGAGAGAGCAGCTGTTGCATACATTCCTTTAGATTTTTCTTGGATCCTAACATGGTTGGCTGCTTATCATTGCACATGCCTCCCATATTCCATCCACCTTTAACAAATATTCACATAAAATGAATGTCACTGCCTAACTGTGGTGGTTATATGCATGCATGATGTTAGCCATGTGTCAAAAAGCTGAATTCCCAAATGTAGGTTAATTATCTTATTTAATAGCACATTATTTCATAATAATTATCTAATTTATTCATATTATTAATCTATAAATGAGAGTTATAAGACCATGAGTCCTATAAATAAGACATACCTTTTTGCTCAAAGAGAAAAAAATGTTCCTCCACATTCTTCAACTTTCTTAGCTTATTCTATTTTCAAAATGTTTGGATAAAGAAGGATGTTTTGAGTTAGGTGATTCTATAAGTAGTGTAGATTCATAGAGTGTTATTATAAATGATAGTGTACATATTAATATTGTATGTGAGGGTAGTCTAGTCTTTACACAAATACATGTATATATATATACTGTAATCCTATTTCAGAATCAATGAGAATGACTATTGTCTTCAATAAACTTGTAGTATCCTCAGGACGACATGCTAAATATATTTCTGCTACACTAGTTGATTTACTCTTCGTAGAAACGTGAATCGCCTTAAAGTAAATAAATTCATGTTTATTTTAATGATAATTTTTTATGGATATTTTCTGATAAGTTTACTAATTATTGTTTTATTTGATTTTGTAACCAAAGCACAACAATGACATGATGTGAAGATGAAGGAGAGTATTCCAAGAACAACTTCTTGATTTATCTCACCCCTCTCTTAAATGAAGAAAGACTACATTTCGTAATTTAATTTGATTGATTCAACTTATTTATAGCTGTACCGTGTTGATTGTATCTTCAATCTTTTTGGTTCTGTTTTTCTTCCGACTTAGTAATCTTCTTTTTTACTACTAATTAAGTTGAGTGAACCAAGTCCTGAGATTTCTACATTCCAAGAGGCTTATTGCTTTCTACTAATAATAATAATTACTTTGCAATGAATATATATAATAATTGATCAGGGTTAATTAGGCCTTCATTATATTTTTTGCAGTTGGAAAGCAAACAAAGCACTCCAACTTGGATGTGTATTTGGTAAACAAAAGCCAAGTGCAATTAATTGCGCTGTGCCGTGCTGGAAAGGAGTCTCTCTTCTTCAGCAAAATCAGCTACCTTGCCAACCTAGCCATGCCCATCATTCTTCCTTGGGGATATCTTTGTGTGTATATATACATATATAGAGGAAGAAGTAGGAAATTAACAAAAAGGAAATGGGGAGGCCTAGGGCATGGACATGCCAAAAGAAGTGGTGTGTGGGAGGATATAGAGGAGATACATACTAGAGGTCAAGGCTAAGCTAGACTAGCAACGGGTAGAGGAAAATCAGACGTTATCTATAGCAGGCAGTTTATTAACAAAGAAAGGATATAGTTGGGATACCCAATTCTTCTAATGACTCACTCATTATCCATTTTAATATAAGGGTATGTTTGGTATAATTTGTTAGAGTTTGAGGTTATTTTACACTGTTTATAAATGATAAGTTTAAATTTTTATTGGAAGAAAAATTTAAAAATGATTTTTAAAAATAAAAAAAAAGTGAGTAAAAAAAATTTTGCAAAATTTAAATTTAAAATTTTTGATTTTTTACTGTTTAAAAATCTTTTTAAAGATAAAAAAATTTAAAAATATAAATTTTTTTAAAAAATTTTAAGTGTAAAACATGAATAATATCTGAAAGCTGAAACTCCTATAAATTGCACCAAATAAACCCTAAATCTGGATATAGATTACTTCTTTGGCCAAAGCACTTATTTACCTCTTAAATATTTTTTTTTTCACTATCAACACTTTAAACCAATTTTTCTCTTGCTCAACATTTTTTATAATTTAAAATCTAAAAAAAAAACCCTCAAATTACTAGTAAAAATCAAAATACAAATAAATAATTTTACCGTTAATTTTTAGATTTTTCATGGATTTAAAATTATAGAGTATTGACAAAAAAAAATAATAATTTAGAGTATTAATCGTGTAAGGGAAAAAATATCTCAGGTACAAATAAGAGGTTTGGGCTAGTTCTTTTATTCAAGCAATTGTCATTCTTCTTACTTCTTCCCCCATGCTCTACCACTGCCTCCCATTTGTCATCTTCGTCTCAGATTCCAATAAAAAGAAAGGACGCCAGATCTGCAACATTTTATCCATCCGTGTGCTACAGTGGAGAGAGGTTGGCTTGGTTTTTGCAAGGAAAGTGGGGGATGAATTGATGAGGATCGGAGGGCTGTGAATGCGGGAGACCTAGGGTTTTCTTGAAATTTCATCTCCTCTGTAACTTCGGGGATTGTGGGGTGTTATGGGGGATTTTTTGGGTTGAGCTGACAGTGGAGAGGGCGGACAAAAATCGAGGAAAAAAAAAAACAAGAGGAATTTTTCTTCTGTTTTTTTTAGGTTAAAACCTGTTTTTTGATCCTTCAATTATTGTACGGATCCCCGATTTGGTCCCTAAACTAAAAAATCCCTGATTTGGTCCCTAAACTAAAAAATCCCTGATTTGGTCCCTACTGTTTACCATTTTTACCCCGATTTGGTCCTTCCGTTAAAAATTGTGTGACGTGGCCTGTTACTTCACGGTTACCAAATGACATGTCATATAATAGTCCACGTGGAAGATAATATAGCCAAAAAGTGATGATGTGGAAAAAAAATAATATAAAAAAAATATTATGAAAAATAAAACTTAAAATATTTTTTCTTTTTTCTTTTTTTCTTTTTTTCTTTTTTCTTTCTCCTTCTCCTTTCCCTTTCTCTTTCTCCTTCCCCTTCCCCTTTCCCTTCTCTTTCCCCTCGGAACCCAGCAGGCCTGGGTTCCTTCAAACCCACCCAGGCGCTGGGTTCCTTGCGAACCCAGGCGCTGGGTTCACAAGGAACCGAACCCAACACGCTTGCTTGGGTTCGCACCGAACCCAACATGCCTGGGTTCGATGGA